GGAAAGCATTCCCTAACAATATTTGCTGGCATCTTTCATATTATCAGCAGAAAATCACTTCTATTGTCCTCAATGAATGGTAATAGATTATATTAGTTTTTAAAATTTTTAATTGTAATATATTTCTAAACTGTAACCCTCCCATAGTCATTTACTGAAATAGGCAGCCATAGAAATGGAACAAACAAACAAACAAACAAAAGATATAAACTGAATCTCAGTATAAACATAAACGTAGATATTCCCAACTTTTCTTTTTCTTTAAATGAATTACTGCATGATATAAATGGTTTAGGTTCTCTTGAAAAACTTCACAAAAACTGGTAATCAGCAAGATCTGTGGCTACCATAGCACATTTGACACCTTTATCTTCTCTTGCTGACTGGAGAATTAGATATACTATTACAAAAACATAAAATCTCATGAAATGTTGTTTCAGCCTGAAAATATAAGATTTTAAGCAAGAACTCCAAAATTTCACAAAATAAAAAATAATAATGCCCATCTTTTGCAAAATATGGTATAGATATCCTCCATTTTATAACCACAATTGGGCTTGGAATCTTGGTTGTTGAGTGAAACAGTCATTAAGCAAGATGCCATATGACTGCTTCACTCAATGACGGCAATCTGGCTATTCCAGTTGCAGAACTTAAGTGACCCGATGGGAAGAAGGCATACATCTAAGAACCCTATTTCCAGTCTTCACTCTATTGGTGGAAGGCTTTCACCTTTTGCCCACCACATCATGGAGAGCAATTGTGAGCAGGATGGTGTTCACTAGCACTTTCCCTTTCAGAGGGACAGAAACTCTGGTAACATATTCCCATCTGGATCAGCTGAAATGCTGGCGTTCTGTAACTTTTTTTTTCCTCCAGGGGTGTGTGGAAACACTGGCATTTGATAGCAGTTTTCCCAGAGTGGGTTGAAACATTGATGTTTGCTACTGTTTTTCTGCCCTGAGGGTGATAGTGGAAATGCTGGTATTTGCTAGTTTTTCCTCCTCCTGGATGCTCAGAAATACTGATATTCACTAGCATTTTCTCTTCCAGAAGGGAAAACAGTAGTGAACACCAGAGTTCTAAAAGGCTCAAAAGGCTGGTATTTGCTAGTATTTTCTCTTTCAAAGGGGCAGAGATTCTGGCATTCACTAGCATTTTTCCCTACAGTGCTGCTGTTTTAAATGCTCAGAATATTCACATTTGCTATCATTTTTGCCAGCTTTGAGGTTCATTCCTTTAGCATATGAGGGGATTTACCCTTACTGCATTAAGTGCTAATGAGCCCTCCACCTGAAATCTTTCCTGATGGTTTCCTCATTGATTTTCTGAGTAACCTGGCAGAGAAGATTGTAAATGAGAGTTCCCATGATTGCAAGGCGGTTGGCAACTAGTCGTAAATGTGAACAGGTTGACAAGTGCCCAAAATGCAGTCATGTGAGCAGAGTAGGTTGGTGTAACATATAAACCACCCATTTCAGGGCTGTTGTGACTGTGAACAATTGTTAAGAGACTGGTCGTAAATTGAGAACTACTGGTAACCTCATGTAACTCTAGCTGTATATTAATATTAGTTCTTTGGTGCTAATACCCAGAGCTACCTATACAACCTTTCCAAAAATGGCTTTGTCAGTAGTTCATGGAATAAAACTTCCAGTTTAATATATAAGGTGAACTATAAATTAATAACAGGAGTATACCAGGAAAATATTTTTTCCCATTAATTATATCTATATTTTCCTTTTTAAAAGTTAATTCTATTTTCCTAGTGATAGTTTTTTGACAGTCATGGTGAAGCTATTGATGATAGACTTTTGAAATATTTATTTATTTTTTATTTATTTATTTATTAAATTTATATACCGCCCTATTCCTAAGGGACTCAGGGCGGTGAACAGCGAACGATAAAAATACATGTAATACAAACGTTAATAATAAAAAACCAATTAAAATATACTAAACATTCTGGTCCTAGATAATTCAAGACATCCCAGTTTAAAATAAAATCAAAAAGCAATATAAAGGGAAAGTTAGGCCAGGCTGGCCTGCTGAAATAGGAATGTTTTGAGGGCACGGCGGAAAGTGCGCAGATCCGGAATCTTCTGTATCTCTGGGGGGAGCTCGTTCCAGATGGTGGGTGCCCTCACAGAAAAGGCTCTCCCCCTGGGGGCCGCCAGTCGACATTGTTTGGCTGACGGCACCCTGAGAAGCCCCTCTCTATGGGAGCGTACTGGGCGGTGAGAGGCTATTGGTGGCAGAAGGCAGTCTCGTAAGTACCCCGGTCCTAAGCCATGGAGCGCTCTAAAGGTGGTAACTAAGACCTTGAAGCGCACCCGGAAGACCACAGGGAGCCAGTGCAGCTCGCGCAGGAGGGGAGCCACATGGGAGCGCCATGCTGCTCCCATAACTACCCGCGCGGCCGCATTCTGGACCAGCTGGAGCCTCTGGGTGCTCCTCAAGGGGAGCCCCATGTAGAGAGCATTACAGTAGTCCAGGCGTGAAGTGACGAGGGCATGAGTGACCGTTTTTAACGAGTCCCGATCCAGAAAGGGACACAACTGGCGAATCAGGCGAACCTGATAAAAAGACCTCCCGGCCACAACTGTCAAGTGTTCTTCTAAAGACAGCCGTGAGTCCAAGAGGACGCCTAAGTTGCGAACCCTCTCCGTGGGGGGCAATGACTCATCCCCAATAGTCAGTGATGGCACCAATTGACTATATCGGGACGTCGGAAACCACAGCCACTCGGTCTTGGATGGGTTGAGCCTGAGTCTGTTCCTCCCCATCCAGATCCGTACAGCCTCCAGGCACTGGGACATCACTTTAGAGGGCATCACTGGGGTGGTCCGGGGTGGAGATGTATAGCTGAGTATCATCAGCATACTGATGATACTTCACCCCAAAACCAAGGATGATCTCACCCAGCGGCTTCACATAAATGTTGAACAGAAGGGGCGAGAGAACCGACCCCTGTGGCACCCCACATACAAGGGGCCTCGGGATCGACCTCTGCCCCCGTCAACACAGACTGCGACCGATCAGAGGGAAAGGAGGAGAACCACCGCAACACGGTGCCCCCCACCCCTAACTCTTCCAACCGGTGCAGCATGATACCATGGTCGATGGTATCAAAAGCTGCTGAGAGGTCTAATAGGACCAGGATAGAGGAGCAACCCCTGTCCCGGGCCCTCCAGAGATCATCTACCAATGCGACCAATGCCGTTTCCGTGCTGTATCCAGGCCTGAAGCCCGACTGGAACGGATCTAGATAAGCCGATTCATCCAAGTACTGAGGAAGCTGTCGCGCTACCACACTCTCAACAACCTTCGCAACGAAGCGAAGGTTGGAGACTGGACGGTAATTAGCCAACACTGCTGGGTCCAGGGAAGGCTTCTTGAGGAGAGGCCTCACCACCGCCTCCTTCAAGGCGGCAGGGAAGACACCCTCTCTCAAGGAAGCATTTATAATCCCGTGGAGCCAACCTCGTGTAACCTCCCGAGAGGCCAGCACCAGCCAGGAGGGACACGGGTCCAATAATTTCCAAATATTTGAAATATTTCCTGAAATAATCAGAAAAAATTACAACTTGGACTTGTTGAAAGATCAATGGTTGTGAAGTTATATTCTGTATTTTTTATTTAGAATTCAGAAGCTCTCTTTTAGATGATTAAATGTTGAAATAATATTTTGGATATGCAGATCATCTCAAAATTACAATAACAAATTAATAGGACCTACAAATGATAGATTTGCTAAGTCAGTGGACTATTGTAGACTGAACAGAGAAGAATGGAATTGCAATATGTCAAAATGTTGTTGTCGGCATGCACACAATTCAATAATGTATAAGAACTGGAAAGGCAAGAAATGTTTAGGCTTGTAAAGCCATGTGTTTTGGGAAAACTTATTAATGCAAGTTCTATCCATAACAAATCTAAATACAGCAATCATGACTTTGAAAATCTCTAAGTGCTCTCCAGATTTCGCTTACCTCTTAGGGACAAGAAAGCCAAAATACTAAGATATTCTGTAATTCAACACTATAAAATTAAAAGCTACATTACCCACAATGGAGGAACAGTGAATGAAGTTGACAGAATTTGCAGAGATGGCTAAATGAACTTTTTTAGTCTGAGAAAAAAATATTTATATTTAAGACTTACTTGAAATCTCTTATAGGCTCGTGAATGAAAGTAAAAATACACGATTTGCGGTTTTGTTGATTAGAGAAAAATTGGATACAGAAAAAACGATTTTTTAAAATCATAGACTAAGGGATAGTTTCGTAATTATACTTGCTAAAATTGGAAGCTTCTTTCTTGTTCTTGTATTCTTTCTGCACTTTTACTATTCTTCTTTTACTCTTTATTAATTTGTGCTAGTTTTTATGTTCTTTGTGAAACTTTTATTAAAAAAATATTAAAAATGTAAAAGTCACATTTACATATTTTATCATATATATTTATGATGCAGTGGTTAGAATGCAGTATTGCAGGCTAACTCTGCCCACAGCTAGCAGTTTGATCCTGAGTTGATCCTGACTTGCTCATGGTTGACTCAGCCTTCCATCCTTTCGAGGTAAATAAAATGAAGCCATATTGTTGGGAGCAATATGCTGACTCTGTAAACCACTTATAGAGGTCTGGAAAGCACTATGGAGCAATAGATAAATCTAAGTGCTACTGCTATTTTACAGCAATAAGAATTACTATAAGATTCTATCTAAAATGCCTGAAATATTTAAGGCTAATTAACTATAAAATACACTGACAAATATGAATATCAGTTTGTCTCTTACTCACTTGCACATATTTACATAAGACTTATATATATGGTCCAACTTTAATAACAGTGAGATTAGTTATTAAACAAGCAACTGTTATTGCATGTTCTACAGAATTAGTTGTCAACCAACCAGTTAGCACATAAATATGGTAAGATTACCAATTATAGTTATTAAAAGGAAAATATCCTGAAAATTAACCCAAAGAGCAAGTACCTTTTAGCACTGGTTGAAAGTTTAGCTGCTGTTTTGCTAGAGATTTTGGCCTCTTTTTTCTTAGGTTGAATTTGTTCTCTTTCCTGATCCTGTTGAATACTTTCTCGCTGATCTCCATCAGAGCTGCCTCCACTGGTACTTGGACTATCATCAACTCTTTGCCCTTCAGTGGACATCTTATATTCTAAATGAGAAGTAATAAAAATTAAAAATAGTTTTCATTTTTATTTCATTTCTGCCTGTTTTATTATTTATCTAGTTCTAATATATTATGCCTTAAACCTATGAGTTATGAAATGGTATAACCAATTTGACAATATGAAATTCTGATTGAACAAGATTCTTTTATAGTCTTTCAGCTATATTCACTCATTAATGCCTTAGAGTGTTTATGTCTTAATATAATCTTTAATGCTTTATTTAAATCATCTAGTAACTCTCCCAAAACCTGCTTTAAGGAACAACAAATATTATATCATTTTGCTGATTGAATATCATCACCTTTATCCAATTATACGGTAAATGATTCTTTTATTCTTGTAAAATGTACACAGAGAATGAATACTGCTGCCTGCTTTGATACTAAATAAAACATTACAGGATAGCCAATTAAATCACATATTATGTCTAAATATATTTGACGGGCTGGTCTATTTGACTTACAGAATCCCATTACTAGAATGCAATGTTTCTCATACTTTTTCATCTTTCTCACTCAATGAGACTTACCAGTAGTTCCAAAATAGTGAGAGTTAAATTCAGATATGAAACCCTTCATGTCTTTTTGAATTTGAGTGACCTCATAAATTTATAAAATAAAAATATATACTATAACAAAGAGAAAATTAATTCACACAACTTCATGAGAAAATTATAAGACTCTTATATTTTTTTAGAAGAAAAATATAAGATGACAAATATAAAGCACAGAACTAGAAGAACTACTGTTCTTTTTGGAGTATAAGATGCACTTTCCCACCCTCTAAAAGTGGGTGAAAATTGCGGTGCGTCTGAATGTTGCCAAAGTCCCACCCACCCACTGGCCCCTACCCTTTGGTCATTTTCAGCCTCCGTGTGTTGCGTTTTTGGCCTTCGTACGCTCCATTTTAGATACATTCCAGCACAGGAATCAGCACAGCACATTGCAGGTGATCGCCACCTCCGTGCATCGCGTTTTCGGCCTCCACACATCACATTTTCGGCCAGTTCCAGGAGGTGGGGATTAGCGGTGATGGCCAAAAACGCGATGCACGGAGGCCAAAAAGGTGACACGCGGAGGCGGCGATGGGCTGTAGTGATCGCCGCAGCCTGGAAGAGCTGATTGGCGGTATTCCGGGGGGCCAATCCAACCACCAATCTGCTGTTCATGTTAAATCAAGCTGCATTAACGTGCTGAAGCTTACTAGGCTGTTTGCTGTTTGCTGCAAGGACACTAGCCAGATGAATACCGATGGATGTGGTAGGCAGATTTTTTTCTTCTTGTTTTCCTCCCTAAAAACTAATGTGTGTCTTATACTCCAGAGTGTCTTATACTCCGAAAAATACGGTAATTGTAAGTGAATTGGAGAAACATTGCCTGATTCCAATAAATTTTATCAGTAATGCTCATAAACCTTTTACTTCCTTCCTTATATATATAAATTCATGCATTGTCTCTTCTATCACCAGCAAAAATAGAATATCATATTGAACTGAAATGTATTTATTATACTCCACAATCTTTCTCTAAATTCCTCTATAGGCTGAGAGCTGTCTTCAAATTTTTTTTTAATAACGGGACATAGCCCTTTGAGTATCTGAGTAAGAAGGAGAATTATGTAGCAACTCACTAAATTTGAAAGTTTAGTTTTTAGGAAAGTTAACTTAATCAACTTACTATGCAATATGTAAGAATTACAATTTCCACTCTCAAATCCTAAGAAAATCTTCAACGCATGTAGTAAAAACTGGAAGTTACATCTACAAATGTAATAATTTTAATTGCTATAAAAGGATATAATTCTTCAAGGATTGATGTATAGTCGTCCTTAAAAGTTTGTGAACCTTTTAACATTTCCAATACTTCTGCATAATTATGACCTAAAGCTTGATCTGATCTTTACACAAGTCTGCATGTTACATGACCAGATAATGATTAACACAGAAAATTAATATTTTGGAATGACTGTGTTATAATCCTGAGCTATAAGTAGTATTCTTCCAGTAACTGTACTTAGGAACCAAAGTGGGAAATGTCACTGCACTCAATAGGTTTCCTATAACAATCTAGTTAGACATTAAGGAACTGAAGCAGGACTAGATAGGCTAAGAATAAGCTGTAACTTTCCAATAATTCCTGTACTGTCATTAACTGTACATCCTTTTTTCATTTTATGTATTTTATATATTTGAAATTACAAAAACTTTCTATTTTTCTTGCTCCTTGGAATGCTTGTAATTATACCTTCAACATCTCAAACTCCATTCTTTTTATTTCTAACCATAGGATTATATCCAAAACTTCCCAAAAGTAATAGCAATAGTATTAAAAATCAACAGGCTGTCTTTTTGCTTAGTAACTGCTTCCATAAGGACACCCAAGAGACTCCTTTTCATAAAAAAACATACCAGCTTCTAGCTCCAGCTGGTAAATTCCACTGTTCTATAAAACAAGAGAATATGTGGTCACATACAGTACCCTTTACATGCTGCAACATTTGTGTAAATTGATTTTTGACACAAATTGATATTTATTAGCTATTACCAAAACATTGATCAGTTAGTGAATAGAGAATGAGCGGAAATTTTAAAATGGATAAATAAAACTAGAGAATCTTAAAAAAACATGCTTAACAATGAATGTGAATAATAAGAGCAAGACTGAGTCAATAGACTAAAAAAGCTGAATAGAAAAGCTGTACACCTGGAAAACGATAGACTGGAATGGCAGTAAGAAACCTATCTGAAATTATTGTGAGAAAATCTGATAAAACAAATATCAACAAGAAGATTCTTTTAGAAGACTGTAAGAAAAAATGAACAAGTAGGGCATTTTCGTAACAAGAAGACAAAATTCTTGTAACAAAAGATTAGATGAAGTCAACCTTCTAAAAATTGTGACAAAAAATAATGAGAGCCAAAACAAAGAAATACTATGCAAAGTTTACTAAAGCAGGGATATTCCTATGAGAAGATTTTAAAAAGGCAGGTTCTATAAAATCTCTACCACGTAGAGAACTACATTTTAACAAATTCTTAAAAATGAAATAAGAACTTAAGCAAGTCTAGCTGCAAAAATATGGCATATAATTTTCTGCAAATATTCATACCTCAACCTCAAGACATAGTAGACTCAAGAAGGATCTACTATGTCTGCAAACATAATATTACTTTGTATAACAATACATTTGAAAATAAAAAAATATTTAATGCTAATCAATACAAAATACATTAAGCCAAATGTTGTATTTCCCTAGTGTATTTCAAAATATGAATCAAACATATATTCTAAATAAGCTCATGTTTGTCCCTAAATAAGATTGAGTCATCACAGCCTGTAGCTGTGTTGGCGAACCTATGACACACGTGCCAGAAGTGGCATGCAGAGCCATATTGCCTGACATGTGTGGCGTCGCCCATTCCTCTTCCCGTTTTCCAGGGTATGCATGCGCACCAGTCAGCTAGTCTGCGGGTTACTGGTGTGCATGCGTACATGACAATCAGCTGGCCTTTAGTGCGGGTGCGCACCGGCCATGCCATCGTTGCCCGCATACAGCCCAGGGATATCCACCCCTTGTCAGCCAGCAGCACTGCCACTAATCACTCCCCTATGCCCGGCTGCCTGCTTGCCTCATCACCACTGTTGCCGGGGTGGTGGTGCCAGCGCCAGAGGGGGTGCCAGCACCAGAAGCAGTGGGCTTGGGCTTCAATCCCTTTCCCTGGACAGACTGCTCGGGTGCGGAGACAGGGAAGGCGCAGACAGCAGATCCTTCCCACCATCCCCTTGCACCCGGCAACAGCGGTTCTTGCGGTGCCTCTTCCCTGGCAGCACCAGGAGCAGGACTTCCTGTGGGTTTTTTCCCCCTTCGCACCGCAACGAATGTGTCAGGTTCCGATGTTATCTCAAATAAATTTCATTCTCAAACACAAAGTCTTTGCTGAAATCTCTTATTTACTGAAGAATAACGATCTAGTCCTGAACTCATTTGCAGCCGAAACTGATCCTCTGATCCCAAACCCCTCCCTTTCCATTCCTCAAATCTCAGTGTCTCATTGGCCATCTTCCAAGTCCATCTTTCATCTCAGCTACTTCAAGTCACAGGAATTCCCCCCTCCCCACATCACCTAGGTGATGTTATCTGCCGGGGAAAGGAACTGGGTGAAAAGCCAAGCTACTACTTCTAACAGATTCTTTCTCTTTCATTTTTTTCCCCCACTAATTCATGTCAGCGCTGGGGAAATCATAGTTTGGAGCGCTGACATCCGGCCCCTCTCCCTTCATTTCTCCAGAGCGGCCTGCCGCAAAAGAAAAAACACAACAAGTTAAGTATCGTTATCCCCTCCGAGGGTGTGTCCCCACCCTCCCGGCTTCCCCGGGTGATCTGCATGGAATTTAGCTATAAGGCGGTCAGCTTGGATGTTTGTGCTCTTCACCCAGGAAGCCTCTGATAACGGGTAACCCTTCCATTTAATTAAGTATTGGAGGTGGCCCCTGTGCCATCTTGAATCGAGAATTCACTGTACTTCATAATGAGTTTGGCCCCCAACAAGGGGCCTGGGGGGGTCACGTGGTGTCAGCCTTAAAGTAGACCCCACTACAGGCTTCAGGAGGCTGCTGTAGAAAACGGGGTGTATCTTTCCTAGGAGCCGGGGCAATTGCAGTTGTACTGTAACCGGGTTGATTATTTTTACTATAGGGAATGGTCCTATAAATTTCGGGCCCAATTTCCTGCTCGGGAGTCTAAGTCTCAAATACTTGGTGGAGAAGTAGACCTTCTCTCCCACTCAAAATGGTCTTTGGGGAGTTCGGTGCTTGTCTGCTTGTTTCTTATAGGATTGGG